CATGACCTGGGCACCTAACTGCAAATAACAAGTAATGCTGAGGTTTTTTACAGTGCTTGATTAGACTGGCTGTTCCTCACCTGACGGTCTCTTTGAGTTTGTCTTTTGCTTATGGTTTCTGGTTGGCACCAAGGAGAAGCTGTAGGTAGTTCAGCCTGCAGCTGTGCTTTTGCTGCCCGGTGTGATGAACGAGTCCTGTTGTGCCTATCTCCAGGGGAATCCACTGCCTCTTTATTTGATGCTGGCTACGGTCCAAGAGGCTGACTGGTAGCTATAGCACTTCTGTGAACTGTAACTAGAAGAATGCTCTCCTGTATTTCAGAATAAAACAGAAATTTAAAGACGTTTAAAGGTTCAGGAGTAGAAGGTAGGAAACTTCTGTGGAAGCCCTTCTCCTTGGAGCTGCCTGTGTTGATAACTGTGGTAGAGCCATAGGCCTGTGCTGTCCCTCATGGTGTGCAGTGAAAGGTTACTTTTTGTTCTGTCCCAACAATTCATTATTGATTGACTTAGTGAACAAAGATATAGTTTAAAATGGCAAGTATTCATGTAATTGTAGAAAATATCTAGAATATATATGACTGTGTTGTCATGCTAGTTTTTACTTTGCAGCTCGTTTTTCACAGACTAGGTGACTTGTCCATAGCTGCATAATTGTATCTTCTTTTTGAGAGCTGTAGTAGAAAATCTCCATGCTTTGTGGGGATTATTTTAAGGGAAAGACCATAGCTACAAATAGGTATGTGCATCTGCATTAAAGCTAGATAAATTGAACAGTAATTGTGAAAAGTCCAGCAACTGGAAGTTACACTGATAACTCTTCAAATATTTTCGTTTACTCAATGACTTGTGAGACAGTAAAGATTACTGTACTTTGATTTTTAACTGTAACCATTGGCTACAGTGCCATATTATTGATTAGCCTGGAGGCCTAGCGTCATCATGTCAGACTTCAGACTCTGATTAACAGAAAGACATTACTTGGTAGGGTTTTCATCCCATTTGTCATCTGAATTGCTTTCCAACAATATTTATATCTCCATGTTGACAACACAGGTAACCTGACCTCCTTCATTCAGGCACTTCTATGTTTGAGAGGTGAATAATGACTCTTTTTTCTTTATTTCATTTGTGTTTTGTTCTTAAATGAAAGTAGATTCTGATACTACCACGTGACTTTATGAGCTATGGCTCCGCTGTTATGATGTGGTACTATAGCTTTGGCAACACTGGTGGAGACCCCAAAACTAAGAACTCCCCAGTGACAGAACACTCTTATTCCAAGAATTTGAATGCACAACCTGTGTGTTGTACTTATTAATGCTACAGCATCAAGCTCATGTCAAGCAGAAGCTTGATGAGACGCTGGCAAAAATATCCAAGTGAAAATTTTTCACAGCAAGGTGCAATTTAATATGTCCTTCACTTTTCTAGGACCCAAGAAGCTGGATCAGATTGCAGTTTACAGCCAAAACCCACTCCTGGGGTTTTGGAAATTGGAAGCTGGTATATACTTTATTTTTCAAATGTTACTTTGACAGGAGAAAACCGCCTTTTATGTAAGACTGTGGGTTAAAACTGAGTACAGACATTGGAAGAGAAATCCTGAACACAAGTTCTTGTTTGCAAGTCATATCTGTTTTTTGCAATTTATGCAATCACATCCTAATTCAAAATATGAATACTGTCCTAGGATCAAAACCCAGCAAGTTATTCTTGCAAGAAAGTTCTAAACGGTTCATGTCAGGCAGATGCAGATTTGGATTCCTTGAATTCCTTCAGGTTGCATATAGACAGGCAGGTAAGCTGGGGGGTGCCCTCACCATTGAGTTTCTCTTATAAAATGCCATTTTACTGCTTTTCCCTCCTGCAATGGATTTGAACAAGGTTGGCTGTGGCTGATTTTTTTTTTTTTTTTTTTAAGTCAGTGGTGATAGCACATTAGCTATTTTCTGAAAGCTCTAACTGGGTTGAGCCTCAGGTATACAGATCTAGATTTGGCCTAGGTACATGCATTATAGGTGTCATGGCTGCTTTACTGGAGAAAATATAGGTCCTTACAGCTTTTCAGCCAGCTGAGATGGTGTCTGAGGCAAGGCTTTAGACATCACTCTTAACTTAGAAATATTCAGTTTCCACCTGAGCCCCAAGGGAATGTGCCCATTTCAGAAGCCTTTTTCTGAGCAATTCTTTCCTCGGAGGAACTAACTGGTGGTTTCAGTTCAGCATAGTCATTTTCATGTGCCACGAATACTCTCCACAGTGGTGGAACTATTAGCATGCTTTAACGTAACATATATTAAAGTGAAAGTTTTTGACTGAGACTTTATACCAGGTAGAATTGCATTCTAATATACAAAACTGTGAACTCAAAGCTATGCAAAGCTGTTGTGCTGCCCATATATCTAGAGTAGAATAGCTGTGGTACTTTTGGGCAGAAATTAGTATTCAGTTTTGGTGCTTCCTCATTTGCCCTCCCAAAAAAAATTCAGCAGACTATTCCTATGCTTTTAATAACTAAGAAATAATAATGATGCCAGTTTGTCCAGCCTATCAGTCTGCATCCAGGAGTAGCCAAATAGTTGTGTTGTCGTCATCCATTTTTTTTTTGACTGGGTAAAATAAATACCTACCGCTTCACATGCTGTGCATTGTCAGAAACACTGCTGTACTTGACAAAGAAATGAGAAAGGAAAGAGCCAAGTTTGATTCAAAAGTGGAATATGATTTGAAGGAATCTTGTTTCGGTGTCAAAATGGGTATTGTTTCTGAAAGCACACAAATTGCATTTACAGGCAGCCAACCATGTCTAGTATGGAGGAGCATGGAATGGCAAACAGCTTTTGTTTATAGCAAAACGTGAGTATTGGCTAAGAAGTAGTGTTTATGGTAAGTGAGCTTTACAAGGAAGTAAAATGTAGTGGGGAACACAGAGGGTAGCATTTGCAGTGATGCAGGTAATAAGGAGAGCTGTGTAGGCATTTCCTGATTAGCATCTGCTCTTCCAACAGCTGAGAAACATGACTCACATGCAAATGCTTGTGCTAGGCTCTAACAGGCATTCCCTCTAGCATGCCACCCTGCCTTCTGCTTTTATTTTGAGTTTCCTTGAGCCCTACTGTGATTTGACATCAGTGGAGGAGAAAAGAGAGTAACACACAACAGATGTCTTAAAGTCTTAGAACAAAGAGAGAGAAAAAGCCCAGTGGCAAAGGAGAAGGTGTAGTTAAGGTATTCCCTGGTTTTGGTGCCTCTAGTACCGACTGCTTTTGCATTTCTGCACGTGTATATATGTTTGTATGTATATATACACACACACACAGAGGTGTCCACGTCATGGTGAAGAATTTGTGTGCAAAAAGCTGGCCATTGCACGCACCAGGGAACACTTCTGGGATCCTGTAAATGAGTGTGACCTACAGACACTAAGTGTGCTTGCTCACACAGACAAAGCAACCTGGTGTTGGGCAGGTTCACAAATTATTTCCCAGTTGCTACAGTAGCTGTCTTGAGTCTGTTGCTGGATAAAATACGCTAATTCTTTTTACTTGAGGTTAAAAGATGCTCCATAGTTGAGAAAGCTAATAGTATGCTTGGTGTCCATCAAGACAGCTTTGCTTACAGGTGATAACTTAAGCCATGACTATGTAAATACTGCATACCCCATAACATTAGGAGAACTTGGTTGTGCACTAAGTGACATTTAGTGTAGATTCAGAAAAGTGCTTCATCTGTGCTTGCTGCTGTGGGGAACTGTGTCCTTAGGGCTTTCATTTCCATAACGGAAATCTGTGACAGAAACAGATGTGAAATTCTTGCAATATATAGGCAGCTGGGGACAGCATAGAGACCTTGAAAATGCATTACCTGCTGGGTGTTAATTCAGTACCACATGGAGCCAGGGGCAAAAGGAAATGAGAAAAAAATATATATATACTGTGAATGGAAAAGTGAAAATACTTGACATTTCCAGAATTTTACTTCTTTGGGAAGATAACTAAAAGAAATATTAAAAAAGTGGAATCAAGCCTGAGAACTTTGTGCTCTGAAAGCTTAGCAAGCTACCTTCCACTTTTCCACATCTACCTTCTCCTTTTATGTCTTGTATGTTCCACGGATTTCAGCAGATGGGTCCAAAGACAGAAAATCACATTGACATAGAATCCTATTTTCTCATGATATTTTAAATGTAATTTTATTTGCTTATTAACTTGCTGGATTTTTTCCAAGGATTTTGGTAAATTCTGCCTCAATGTATGCTTACACTGGTTATTTTGTTACTGCTATTTGTGTTATTAAAAACGTATATTTATTTATATTACTCTTTGGCTACTAGGCTACAGAGTTTTGTGCTTAGTTTAACCTTAGTAAACTGTTTAGAATAACTGTTCTGTTACTGAGCATGACTTCTGAAAGGCGTTCCAGTTTGGGGATGAATGCTGAGGATGTCAGTAGGAGTTATTTTTCCTTGTACAGAAATTTGTACATCAAGATGGTGTTTCCTGTGGTGCTTCACACCATGCAGACTCTAGGAAATTATATGGATTTTAACATGTTGGTAGCAGCATTTTTGAATCATCAAATATTAGTTGTTGTAAACTGTTGAGGAAGTTTGTTGCATTTAGTATGTTAACACAGAACAACTGTTTTCTCATTAATGCCATTTTAGCATGGACTTTCTTAATCTTTGCAAGGTTATCCTAGCAGAAAAATAAGCACAATAATAATTATGCCTGTATTTTAAATAGTGTTTTTATGCCTCTGCCACTTTCTCTGTACTTTGCAACGATACTATCTGTATTGCACAGATGGGAAAACAGGAGCATCCATGGGAGGTGAAATAACTTCACCTGAAGGTCTTGTAGAGGAATACAGATCTCATCTCAAAGCAGAACCGTATAATAAGTCATATATTAAGCTTATCAGGAGGTATTTGTAAGTTAACTAAACAGATGCTGCACTTTAGAGATACCATTTAACATTTACTTTTCCTCCCACAGGAACTTTTTACACCAGAGTGCAAATTCAAGGAGTCCGTTTTTGAAAATTATTATGTAATCTACTCATCCATGCTCTACAGACAACAGGAGTCCGGGAGGGCCTGGTTCTTGGGGCTGAACAAAGAAGGGCAGGTCATGAAAGGAAACAGAGTGAAGAAAACAAAACCAGCAGCTCATTTTCTACCCAAGCCATTGGAAGGTGAGTCTCAGTCCATCACTGGCAGATCCTCCTATAAATCTCACAAGACGAGGAGGGAATGGTTTCTAAAACACCCTTTGTGAATGCGTGTGTGTGCCCCTCACAGGGGCCGTTCCAGATGACAGTCCCCAGGATTCATGGAGTAGTTTTGTGCTTCGGCATAGTGATGCTAGAAAGGTCATATGTAAAAGGGTGTTTTTTTCATGGATTAAGAGGCCATTTTGCAAGAAAATAAATCTTTGGTGGAAACGCATTTTGCTGTTTTCAAAATATTCTCTCGGTAGGGACAAGAGCTGTTGTAAGTCTTGCCGTGAGAAAATAGTCCTTTCATTAAGCAGAATGAAATAATGGATATTGTAGGATAATTGGGAGTTATAAAGGGAATGGATGAAATGTCAGCATTTACAAGTAAAAGCTTTCTAATACAGAACACAAAGGTCTCTATAAAACAAATCAGGCTGTATTAGCCAGTTGATGTAGTACACATAACATGTGTAAATTGGCCTTTAAACCAGGATAGAAGCGAATAAAAGTCATACTAACCTTACACACTAAAACAATATCACACATTCTCTGAAAAATACATTCATTTATGTCCTGAAACTTTAGGGTTATCCTGTGTATTCTGCAGGCTTTTATAAACCTGGGCTGCTTTTTGCTTCTTGTCCTGATTGAACTCCAGATTTCATTGATATTATTGCTACACATAGTCTCAATCATTCTGAAAATTATGTCATTACTTGACATCTGAAAACCCATGCCTAAATAATGCTTTAGTTAGCAGTCCCATTTCTTTTAACATTTGAACTTGAAATTTTTGATTAAAGGATCAGTTTGTTAAATGTTTTAGAGCTTCATCACAAGGAAAGAATCTGAGTAATCCTATCTTTTAACTTTATATTTGAACTCAGGTTGATGCCATCGTGCTTTCCTCAACTTGCAAAAGCTCACAATATTCTCATGAGCTCTCAACAATATTGACAGTTTTATATGTCAATCCCTTTATATTAAATTATAAGACTAGTCGGGAGGAAAAGCCGGTGCATTTTTAACAGCAATGTCAATTTATATGGATTAGGGAAAAAGTTACTTTTTTCATTAATGACCATTTGGGTGGTCAGACTCTACCAAAATAGCTTAGACAAGGCTTAGAAATAACTTTCTTTCTATTGCCCATGAGAGTCATCAAATATGACAGCTCTGCTATATAATTTTTTACTTTATAGTTAGAATCATAGAATCATAGAATCCTTTAGGTTGGAAGAGACCTTTAAGATCATCAAGTCCAGCCATTAAGCCAACACTACTAAGTCCTCTGCTAAAACAGATCAGAATCTGTCAGGGTTGGAAGGGACCACAAGGATCACCCAGTTCCAACCCTTCTGCCATGAGCAGGGACACCT